CCTACCTACTCACTCACTCTCCCTACCTACCTACTGTATTTTTCTCTCTTTCTTTCCCTCTCTATCCCTCTATCTACCTATCTACTTTTTTAAAAAAATTGCCTCTTCAAAACCTTGGTACGTCTTATACTCCGAAAAATATGGTTATCACATTTTACAAAGTTTTTCTCCCAAACCAGTATTTATTTCATTTGCAGCAAAACTACAATCATAATGAATCATTAGTTCACTTAACGACTACTGCATTTGCTTAACAACTGTGATTCTCTTAATGATCGCCACAAAAGAGGTTGTAAAATCAGGTTGGTCATGTGATTATGATTGTCACAAGTTATGATTGTGATGGGCTGGGCTCCCTGAAAATAGAATTAGAATGGTAACCCTTCTAAATGGAATTAAAATTGAAACCCTAACCTAGCCCACCCCTATCTTCATAAGAGAGGTGGATTAATATGGGGAAAAGGGTAATTTAATGTTTAACTTTTTATAACCAGACCCTTTTACTGTCCCCTCTCTCACATTAGAGAAGAATCAGATTATCAATGCTTTTAAATCGTTTAGTGCATTCCTTACTTGCATCATGGGAATAAAGTTGAGTAATAAACTCCAATGTAAGCTAGTGTTACTGGAATGAGACCCAATTTCTCATAATACATACTCAGGAGAGAAAAGGAAAGCATATCATTGTTACTTCACTCACCACGGTAAGATTATTATTCATAGGTTGAAAAGTACAGCAAAGGAGCTCAGAAGCATCTGGATCTGGAATCTCCCGGATACACTTGCCATCCTCGGTAGCCCAAATGCGCATTGTGGCATCAAGTGAAGTGGAAACGATAATGTCATTGGAGAGAGACCAAGCAAAGTCCGATACACCACGGCTGTGTCCTTTCAGCACTCGAAGCACCACAGGGGGAGTGGGTACTAACTGACACACTGAAATGGTGCCATCTAGAGAGCAGCAGGCTAGTAGGTGTTTGTCGTCATTGGCAAACTGAACTTTAGGCACTGAGGAGGAGGAAGAGGAGGAGGAGGAGAGAAAAATCATTAGATTGATATTTGGACTATCCAGAGCAGTGTTTCTCAACCTTGGCAACTTGAAGATGTCTGGACTTCAACTCCCAGAATTCCCCAGCCAGCATTCGCTGGCTGGNCTTTAACCCATGCTGTGCAAAATATATTTCCAGGAGGAAATGGAGCGCTCTTTATACAGAAAAGTAGTTTCATGCTATCTAGGAAAAGATGGGACTGAAACTAAATTAGGTTTCACATTCTTGAATTAGAAAAGAATCCTTGAAGTCCTAAACTTTATTATGCCAATTCATAAGCAGTTCCTGTAGTGCAATCGATCACATTCTCTTTCAGCCAAAGAACAGTAATCTGGATGGTGAAATCCATTAAACCACATTTCACAGGGTAAGTGGAATCCTTTGTACGCTGTACAAAATCTCACCAACTGAAAAGGAGAAAAGCAGCGGTCATTGTATTCTGGAAGTTTGCTTATCAGTATGTTTCAGGATGAAGAAGACATAAACCAAAAACAGGAGGAAAGATTGGATCTTTTAATTCTCTTTGTCCGTTGTCCTCATAGCTGCATCTCCTATGTATTTTTCCTTTCACGTATCATAGAAAAATATGCTACTTCTGTTCTCTTTTCCAGACAATCACCATGCCTTTGGCATCACTGGATGCCAAGAGACTCTCATCACAGTTAAAGCTGACATCCAAGACTGCCGCGCTATGTCCTTGAAGTTTGTTAACAATAGCTTTGGTGGCCCGTTCCACATCAAAGAAATACACACACATATCTTCACTTCCAGTCACTGAAATGCACAAAAACAAATGATTAGAATAAAACCTTCATTAAATAGAGGCCCTTAATAAAGGAGGGGGTCTTTAATTCTTTTTAACTCTTATTAGAGTAAATCATGTGCAATGGAAAACACCAAAAGCACAGGACTAGAAGCAGCTGCAGAGAACTGGCTCTGCTGCATTATTTTTCCAATTACAGAATGGCCATACAAGCATCGTACCAATGCAAGCGCCTTGGCGAAAAGACATGAGGGGGCAGAAAATGCTGTGGACAGGATGTGAGCTCTGTTGTATTTGGAAGCTTCTCTTAAGCTGCAATGTTCCTTCATTATCCACTACCCTGTCAGGAAAAGTAAAAGGAATGGTATAAGCATGTATATATATAAATGCATATATTGCCCTTAAATGGGATTTATTAATATTCTGCATATACAAATAAAGCATGGCTTTTGGTGCAATAGCATCATACCTATATAACAACAGCTTGTTAATACATGCATTAATGAGGAGAGAAGGATCACGTGCTTCTCTGCTGATCCAGGAACGGGCTGAGATACTGGTGATAGAACTTCCTTCGTTAACTATGAGGCGCTTGGCTTTGGTCAGTTTTCCTGCAAAAATGAAATGAAGCAGAAACTGACTGATCCAAACTGCGCTGCAACCTATCTCTGCAGGATCATCTTGGAAACTCACCTGTTGCCATGTCAAAGAGGAATGAGAATATGCTGCCTTTGTCATCTCCTGCCCAAAGGATGCGCCCAGAAGAATCAAAGGAGAGGGAGAGGACTCGGCCTGTTAGTTTGCTTGAGCCACCCTTTGCTTTTTTCCCTGTTGAGATGTTCATCACATGAAGGTTGTGTTTTCCATTTCCCACCTGATGGATAGAAAAAGAAATTAGTTTTTGTAGCTTGGACTAAACAAAATAGGAGGAACTAGCAACATACAGGTAGTCCTGATAACTGTGTTGCTTAGCGATGGTTTGAAGTTCCAAAGGACCTACCTGGGAGATGCTTATGACCTGGATTTGAAGTCCCAATTATCAGGTGTCGTTCCCCCGCCCCCCTTTACATGACTGAACTTTGGGCTCTGCAGAATCCACAGACATGTACTGTATTTTTTGGAGTATAAGATGCACCTTTTTTCCTCAAAAGAGGCTGAAAATCTGGGTGAGTCTTATACATCAAATACAGCATTTTTTGCATCTTGAAACCCCACCCCGTTCACCAAAATGGCTGTGCCTAACCTTATGGAGGCTTTCAGAGAGCTCCTGGGGCTGGGGAAGGCAGAAATGAACAAAAAATGGGCCATTTTTTGCTCCCCCAGCCCCCAGCAGCACTCTATAAGCCTCCATAAGGCTATGCATACACTTTTTTTCTTGACAAAAAAGGGCCAGTTTCTGTGAAAAATGGGCCGTTTTTGGGAGGTTTGCAGAGTGCAAAAACTTTTTTTTCCTTTTGGAAAACTCTTTAGTTAAAGTGATTGATGAGAATTAGATTGATCAAATGCTTTAACTAATTGATGAGAATTAGATTGATCAAGTGCTGGGCCAGCAGAAACAAAGTCTTAGGTGCTGCAGATTGTCAGTGATTTCCTCCTCAAGCCCATGGATAAATACACCTGGAAACATCTACCTACCTACCTACTCACTCACTCTCCCTACCTACCTACTC